TCATTGTATCTCCATCTTTCTCTCTCTCGCCCTATCTCTCTATCTGTGTTGTCTCTATTTGTTTCTCTCTCTCTCTTTCTCTTTGTCTCTCTCTCTCACAATTTCAAGTTCAGTACAGCTTTATTGGCATGGCTGTGTAAGCTACAGTATTGCTAAAGCAGTATAACAGTGACCCCACATTTCTATTTGTGTACGTTTATGATCATTTCTAAATTTGTAAATTTACTGTGTGGGTCTAAGTTTTTGACTCTCTCTCTGTCTCTCCTGCCTTTCTCTATCTGTTTGTCTTCTCTCTCTCTTTCTCTCTTTCTCTCTCTCTCTCTCTCTCCCCATCTTATTTTCACTCTATCTCACTCTCGTTCTCATCTATCTCTTCTCTGTCTCTTTTCTCTCTCAATCTCTTCCTCTCTGTTTCTCTGTTTGTCTTCTGTCTCTGTGTTTTCCCTTTGTCTGCCCTTCTCTCTCTCTCTCTCTCTCTCTCTCTGCATGTGTCTTGCAAGTCCTCTGTCTCTCCCTCACTCTTTCTCTCTCTTTCTCTCCCTCTCTGTCTCTTTCTCTCTCTCTTTCTCCCTCTGTTTTTCCCTTTGTCTGCCCTCTCTGTCTCTCTCTCTCTCTCTCTCTCTCTCTCTCTCTCTCTCTCTCTCTCTCTCTGTGCATGTGTGTTCATGCGTGTCTAAGTGTGGCCATACATATTTTTTAGTGCTGTTTTTATCCGTGTTGAGGTTCTGGCAGTGAGGCTGTGCTCAGTGACGTGTTTATTGGTGAGGACAGAGCGCGCACAGACTTTACTGCAAGCTGTTCGGAGCCTCTGTAACATCAGCGTCTCCGCCGTGGATGAGCATTAGTAGGGCAGCTGGTGAAAGCGTTTAAGATTGGAACAGAAAAGGTCAGACACTCCAGAGCTGCACACCACTGACGTGCTGATATCTCAGAGTTCAGTACTTGTGTATTCGTTCAGGACAGGGAGGCTTTTTTCTCCCTCACCGTGAAGAATAGCTGCTCTCCAGAGACGATACGCACACCTGAAATGTGACTGATATTCTAATACGTAACCAAACACAAACACAAAGAGCAGCCTAATTTAAGACGTGTATCCTTTCTCTGGCACTGAGCTCCAGGCAGCTTAAGAGCTTTTCTTTAGTCACCAGAATGCTGATGCTAATACTGGTTATTAAGTTATTAGCTTATGAGTAATACGGTTATTCCCAGCTACAATCCAGCCCGCTCCCACACTCCATCCCCAAAAAACCTTTCCACATTCACACAAAGCGCTTTCTTTGGGTCGCTTGACTCACATTTGGTGCTTTCAGATATATCATGTTCGTATAGATGACACAAATTGATTTCTGTAGGAAATTTGATTGTAAGATGTTTTGACACCGATGTGACAGATGAAAGCCTGAAGGAGAAGAAAAATCTTTTTTCTTAGCTGTGGGAATTATAGTAGTGTGTGTGTGTGTGTGTGTGTGTGTGTGTGTGTGTGTGTGTGTATGCACGTGTGTGTGTGTGTGTGTGCGTGTTGACAGATTCATTATCAGCCGCCGATGTTTGATGTGTGTCATTTTGCTTGACTTCATTTGGCTCCTGTCATGACTGCAGGCTTGATTTCTACCACTCACAGAACAGAAGATTATTAAACTAGGTTATATTTCCTGATGTCAGTCTCTGAGCGAGTGTGTTTACGATCAAGTGAGTGAGGGTGTGAGTGTTTGTGAGAAGGATTGTGTGTGTGTGTGTGTGTGTGTGTGTGTGTGTGTGTGTGTGTGTTGGAGCTGTATTTGAGCATGAAAGTTTGGTCCGATTCTATAAACAGCCTGACAAAATTCCATCCACATCTGACCTGACAGACAGAATAAAACCCACCATCTTAGATGATAGCACCTCTTCAAAGGCTGCTGCTTCTCAGAATTTTTGTGTATTTAATTTGTTGAGATGTAAACAAAGTCATTCAGATTGATTGATGTGAAAAGGTGCATTGTAGAGAACTTGCCAGCTCGGGTTTCTTTATAGCGGTGGTGATAGGAACCAGAGGTCACCATATCTACAATATAAATATAGCCATTTTATTTACTATCCGGAATGACCAGTGAACCTACCTAAGTTTTTATATGTAGTATTGATAAAGATATAATAGTGATGAATCTGAAAAAATAAGTTTTCTTTTGGAAATAATTTACCTTACGATGGCCCTACATGTGCCTCTCTACCATGATAAGACAAATTGTTTTGATCCAAAACATTTTTTCAAAACCTCCCAAAACATTCTTGAAACAGTGTCTCAGACATCAAGCAACTTAGTTATAACCATTTTGTATAACAGCTCCCTGTGAGGTAGTTTTTAAAGGCATTAAACACTTACAAAGGGCGTCTGGTTCCTTTCACCACCACTGTGAAAAACTCAGCAAGTTTCTCTACAATGACTGTGTTCATATCTTAACCATTGAGTTCTACAAGATTCTGAGATTTGAGATGATGATTGTTTGCAAATGAAAATAATAATAATAATAATAGCCTTAAAAAAAGGTAAACAGGTTTAAATTTCATATCATATAAATATCATATTTAGCAATCAGTGTATAGTTGTGTCCTGTTAAGTTTGGATAAATGTTTTGAGCCCTGTGTGTGAGATTGTGTGTGTGTGTGTGTGTGTGTGTGTGTGTGTGTGTGTGTGTGTGTGTGTGTGTGTGTGTGTGTGCGCGCGCGTTCCAGTGATGGTCTTGTCATTTAGGCAGAGCTTCTCTAAACAGCACTAACTCTGTTCCCTAAGGCTAACACACATGCCAACACACCTGATCACTTTTCCACCCAAATTCCCTGTTCCTGAGAACCCATCTGTCTCACTCTCTGTCTCTCTCTGTCTAACTCTCTCTCTCTCTCTCTGTTTTCCTTCATTCTGACTCAACTGTTTGCAGCCATACTGTTGCTGGCATTCTTCCAGTCTCTCTCTCTCTCTCTCCTCTCTCCTCTCTCTCTCTCTCTCTCCCTCTCTCTCTCTCTCTCTCTCTCTCTCTCTCTCTCTCTCTCTCTCTCTCTCTGTATGTGTCCTGAGGGGATGGAGTTTAGTGTTCTTACTGGCAGATTAAAAGGATTCTCTTTCCCACCACACACACTGTGTTCAAACTAGCCTCAAGACGCAATGCAATACTGTCCTTTTCATTCAGCTCACCCATCATTTATGAAAGGTTCAGCTCTTCCTATAGCACCTTCTTCTTTAAGGTACATTCACACTATGGCAGTATTATTATCACCCTGTACAGCAAGATTCGACTGCCTGCCAGAGAAACTCAAACAAACATCTCGAATACATGTTTTTAACTGATTATTTTATGATCCAAGAAAACCTGAAAAACATACCATGTGTGTTTTGGTTTTCTACAGCGACAGGTTGACTAGATAAGAAGTAGCTTGCAGTCGTTGGCTGTTCTTCTCATGGACAGCACTGCCTGTTGTGTAGCCCTGCGCAGGGTGACAAAAATGACTTAGTTGAAAGTGAAAACAGTCAACCTTTTTGCCACAATAATGTGAACATACCTTTTAGTTTACCATTTACTCCCATCTCCTACTCTCTTTTTTCATGTTTTTTTTCTTTATTTATATCAGGGACAGTTTTCCTCTAAAGGTAAATGTGTATGTGTTTTCCAACTGGCTAGCTGTAGACCCTAAGGCCTGAAGTTATAAGTCATAAACCAGGAGTGTCAAACTCAATCACTAAAGGGGTCATAACGAAAAAATCTCAACAAATCTGTGGGCCAGAGAACATCTATGTTTTATTTCATTCATAGTGAACATTTTGCTATAAACTGAACTGACTGTTGTTTATGCAAAATACGCAAAACATAAACAGTAAAAAATTGGTGCTTGTAGTAAACCTTGAAATAATATATGGATACCTGAAATATTCAAAATTTAACTGTCCCCAGGAGCTCAGTCTTTTAAACCTACCTATTGGCTTGAACTAGACACCTGGCGTCCTTTCTTTGCTCCAGGTTCATTAATACTTGGGCTCAATTTCTGAGCTGCTGAGCTGAGGTTAAGTGTTTATATTGGCTGAACCGCAGTCAGTTGTTTGGTGATGTGACTGGTGTGGAGCTGTGTAGAATTGTGTAGAATTAAGGTGTAACCGCTGTCCCTTAGATTGTTGTTGGGGTGGGAGATTCAGAGCGCACATTATGTTGCAGTGCATGCTGGGGACTGTAGTGCAGTGCATTGTGAAATGAGCCAAAATTAGAAAAAAATAGAAGATTAAAATACTTTTGCAGGGCCGTATAGGATTGTGTCACGGGCCTGATCTGGTCTGCGGGCCTTGTGTTTGACACATGGTGGGCTGTAAACAAAATAAGATACCCTGACTGACTGCCCATTTTATTAGGTATGTCTACACTCATTGTCTATTCTATCAGGTCCACTTACCACATAGGTGTACTTTGTAGTTCTATAATTAAAGCTTGTAGTCTGTACAGTCTGTAATTATAATACATGTTTTATTCTCTACATAACAGTAAGAAACACAAAGCACATGTAAGACAAAATAAGAGGTTCAAGGCAGCAGTTTACATGCATGCATGCGAGAATGATGATTCCACCATTATCTTACTCAACAACCTACTTTCTAATCCTCACACACACCCTTCATACCAAGTAGTGGCTTTTCCAGGTGGCAGTCAGTCAGATGGCTATGGTAAAACTGTTAGATGGCTCAGTGTCAGGAGAAGCTGGGTCTGTTCTTCACATATGCACACACTCACACCTGTGATACACACACACATGCAGACAGGAAGACAGGAGCACATGCATCACACACACTCGAGCGCACACAGACAAATGAAGTAGCCATGTGGAGCCTGAAGCTACTCTTACATCTTCCATCAGATAATTACCACGTCTGTGTGCACATTAATACAGCGAGAACAGAGTCTACAGAACAGTGTTTACTTAAATTACTGTAATAGGAGTAATATTTCTCTCTCATTCTCTCTTTTTCTCTCTCTTTCTCTCTCTAGGTGAAACGCGTCCCAGTAGAGAGTTGTGATCAGTACAAAACATGTTCCGAGTGTCTGGGCTCAAGAGACCCTCACTGTGGCTGGTGTGTCCTGCTCAACGTGTGAGTATATGCACTATGGGTGTAAAAATGCAGCAGTGCTTCATGTATTGATCTGAAGGTGGTGATCCATCATGACGCATTGCATTCCTTTTAAAAGCTATAATCATAATCAATAATATTGAGTAAAGTGTATGCTTATTTTTGTTGTTTATATTTCACATTTGTGTGTTCAGTGTATTTTTAGCAAAAACTTAAAAATAAATCATACCAAAATTATTTAGTAGAAACAAATTGGAATGAAATGTGAGATTTTGCTTGTTTGAATCATTTTCTAAAACAAACCATAATGGAATAGAATCATGGTGAAATCTGATTTTTCTTCCGTCTTTGAAATGAATCCTAAAGAATCGTAATTGAATAGAATCAGTGTACAATCTGAGATTTCAGTGATTGAACGTTTTCTAAAAAAAATCGTAATTGAGTCAAATTGTTGTAAGATGTGAGATTGCATGATTCATTGAATCGTTCACTATTATGATTCTTACTATAAAAATCATAATCAAATTCAGTGGTGTCGAAATCTGAGATTTCTACATGCATTGAATCTTAAAAAATCTTAATCAAATTGTGCATGATTAAATCTGAGATTTCATTGTGCATTGAATCATTTTCTAAAGAATCTGAATTGAATTGAATCGAATCTGGGTGAATTCTGAGATTTCATGATGCATTGAATCATTTCCTAAAGAATTGTAAATGTATAGAATCATGGTGAATGATTCACAATATATTATGAATGAGATTTCACACTATATTAAATTGTTGTCCAAATGAACTGTTATCACTGTGAAATAGTAAGATTTCATAATACATTCAATCGTAATTGAATTAAATTGAACAATCTGAGATTTCCTGATTTTCCTAAAGGGTCATATTTAAATCACTGTTAATGTCAGAGATTTATACTCAATATGTATGCGATTGACATCAGGCAGGACTGAGCAGAGCTGTAAGCTGTCTTGTATTTTCCTGCCAAAAGCAGCCGTATGTTTTGAATGATGTGTTTCCTCAGCATCTTACTGTAAAGGAGAAGGGTCACACATGCTGTAACAGGAAGCACATGGCTGATAGAGCTGCAAATCACACTGTCATTTTCCACATCACCTTATAAAAATCACATCTAGCAGTCAGTCTTGCGGGTGATTGACTCGGTGAGGAATTGCGTCTGACTGGAAGGGTGCACAGGTGTATGTTTGCATGAAGGCATCCTTAATTCACTATGTGTGGCAGTGATGCAGTTCAGCATTTCGAAAAAGTAGTAACTGATTGATTTCTAAATGCTGAGAGGAATCTTCCTTAGGATATGAGACAAAGGTAATATGGAAATGTTAATTAAAATTCACCCAAACTGCACCGAAAACATTTTCCCCTATCTTCCATTCCCATTCCCCCCCAAATCTTGCTTGGAGGGTGAACATTAGCATGGTTTTTAATTGAGGGCATGTAAATGGCAATTGAAATCAGCTAGCATAGTATCCACCATTCATATCACCCTAGCCTTTTTTTTTTTCAGGAACTGTCTGTTGAACATCATCTAGCCTAAAAGGCCAAGTCTGCAGCGTTAGCTTCAGCTTCAGGCACCAGGGAGAGTAGATGATTAGCATAACAGTCTTACTGCTGTTGCAGCCTTTTCTCTCTGTGGCGGAGTAGAAGTACAGTAAGCGCAACGTGTTCTTCCCCTGTAGCATTCACATTAACTGTTTAAATTAGCAGCAAACTCAAGAGAGCTGATCTTTACATGTACGTGCACACGCAGTGTTTTAAATGAGGTCACGGTTTGCCTGTGAGCTGAAGACCTTACTTTGTAAACCTTGTTGGCTGCAACAGCGTTATTGACAGCCTAAAAATCGCTGTCTGTTTCTTTTGATTGGAAGTAAAGACTTATTAAAGCTTTGTTCAGGAATACAAACATCATTCCAAGTTTGCTTACAGTGTGGTGTAGTGACAGTATACGTGATGCTAAGAGCATTTTCAAATTATACATGCATGGATTATTTAAAATGTTGTTTAAATACATAAGACCCAAGCGTTGTGGTTTTTTATATGTACTCAATTTTTTTCTTTTTAAACTGTATTTAGGGCACCACTGACAATAAAAAAAAAAATGGTTAGAAAATTTTCTCATTGTGAAAAAAAGTTTGATTTTATCTGAGTATTAAGTCTATAACACACAAAGATGTGTGTATATAAACAGTAAACTAATTTGATTCTTTGTATTGTACTATGAATTTACATGCACAGAACATTGTCGTGTCCTGTATTCCCTGTTCATTTGCTGAATTAAACATTATAAATACACATAAACTATAGCCTGTGCAAAACGTTATGCCCTATTTTATATGTTATGGATATATTATATATGGATATCTTTTTCGAATTTGTTAAACTCAGCAAATAAATTAGAAATTATGCATTAAAATATACCAGAAAATGCCATATTGACGTTTGCTCTCTGTAGATGTGTTTATTTATTTAACTTATTTTCACTTAGAAAATCAACAAAACATGTAATTTGACCAGGGCGTGTTGAAACTTTTGCACGCGGCTTTGAGCTCAAGTTTAATCCTGTAATGCGTGTTCAGTCCTGTTACTGAAACCTGTTTACCCTGTGGGGATTTTTCTGTTTATAGACTTTCCTCATCTCTTCCTCTTATTGGTTTTCCTCTTCTTTCCTAGCAGGCAAAGTAGTTTTAGGTTACAGGATTACAAAACGTGCTCATTGTTGGTGAAATGACTCGTACTGTAGTGACTGTATATGACATATTTGATGACATCGTCTGTCTGTCTGTCTGTCTATCTGTCTGTCTGTAGATGTTCCCGAAAGGACCGCTGCGAGCGAGCTGATGAACCTCAGCGGTTTGCCTCAAGAGTGGACCAGTGTGTGGAGCTCTCCGTCCAACCCAACAACATCTCTGTTACCATGTCTAAAGTGCAGGTGTGAAAGAGAACTGTTACTGTATTACGTTACACAACCTTATATATAAAACAAATATATAACTACAGAAGCAAATAGTAAATAATCCGGTTATGAAACATATAAGGTCCATAAAACACTAAAAAATTTACTTTATTTACTGTATTTTTAGACTTCCTGTTATCACCACCTGCCAACACTATCTTTACAAAAATTCATTAAACAAGCATTAATGTTTACTTTTGTTGTCTGGGGTGATTTGCACTTTGTGGCTGAGTGATGCTTGAGATGATGTTTGTGAAACAGACTATCCACACTTATCCAGTTTAAACTAATATGTAACATATGAAACTCTGCCCTTAAGACACTCTAATCTCAATCAGCCGATCCAATTTCAATCTAATCTGACTCAATCTCTAATAATCAGAACATGCAGCTGCACACAAGATAACAGAATCTTGACTGACACTGTCATATTAAGCACTTGAGTGCAGATCCTTTGCAGTTGATGACTGAATGAACTCTGTGACCCTTAGACATCACCAGATGCTGGTTATCTCCCCTGGTGATAATCTGATTTATTCAGATTTTTCTGTCTCATGATGGCCTGTTTTGCTGCGTTGACATTCTTTGGTCCTCTTGTTGAAATACAGCAAACTCCAGATACAGATAATTATATAAATTATCCTGAACTTTTCCTGAACAGTTATGCAGGCAGTTGTCCAATTAGTTATGATTCCCTAAAATGAGAGGAGTATGTGCAGTCATATACTCTGTAAGTCCTCTACAGAGAACAGACCTCTGCACCATTTAATACACAATTACTGTTTATTTGCTGAATTTAACATATGGGAGAAGACAATGAGACATATGTGGCCTGTGCAAAAATTATAGCTCATTTTATATTGGATATTTTTATTTGTCCAGTATCTTAAACTCAGCAAGTAAATGGAACTTGTGTACTAAAATTTGCAGGAAAATGCCATTTTTAAATCGGCCCCCTGTAGAGGTTGTGTTAACCTTTTTCCACTTCAACAAAACATGTAACTTGACCAGGGGTCTTCAGACCTTATAAAAGTACTTGCTACGCAGTTCGGTTGATATGGACATACATACCCTCAACTTTTAACTTTTTTGTTTCCATTTCGAATCAGACACCCCAGAATACTGAACCAAAACAATTAAAATCGTCATTATCCACTTATGGGCTGCACTGTATTTCAGAAAACTTGAGCCTAGCTGCTGCTAATTCAAAGCTCATGTTCTGCTGATCTCACCCTCAACGTATTTGTTTCTTCTTGTGAGCCAGTTTTGACCCGTTTCTGGCCTTAGAAAAGTGCAAAACCTTTTATTTTTAAACATTTTTTTTGCTATGTACAAAAACAAAGCAAACATTATTTCTGTTAAGGCTGTGCTGAACATTGAGCCCTCTGAGCTCATGACACATCACTGTTTAATCTGCCTGACAAAAAGACCCATCCCTACTAACTGCAGGATCATTGTGTACCACGAGACTGCTTCCATGCATCTTTCTCTGAAGATCACTGAAGGGTGTTTCTCAGTTCAAATCTGGAACAAGGACCTCAGGCAGTCTTTTGTAGAAAACACACTGCAGACATAAACATGACCTTCAGTACCTGCCTCCAGCAATGGAGAATTGGTGGGAGATTTTGATGCTAATGATATTGCCACATCTTCTTTAAAGTGCCTACAAAGTCCCTCATGGTGTTCTTGTATTGCTGAATCTCCACAGCTGCAAAAATGGTCAGTATGCCAGAAATGTCCCAAGTTATGTTCTAACACCACTTCCTCCCAAAACCAGTCAGGCCAAACTGATACATACTCTTCTTCTACTCTGCACCAGCAGCATAGATATGACGCCAGTGTCCTTATCCAGGGTGCTGTTCATTTATGAGAACTTCCCTACAAAAGCCTATGTTAAGGATGGTAGAGCTGTGGAACGTCTTCAGCTCAGCCACAAACCAGTTAAGAGTCTCATGCTAGAATTATTTAGTGATGAAAGATGTGGTGCATCACATCTGTTTCCCAGTGCCAAAAACAAGTGCTTGTGTTAGCTCGATGTACAGGCGCTGACTCAAGAGTCAAAGTCAAGTTTTTTTGTCTGATGTAACTGTTAAGCCATCAGCCATGAGTCACTAGTGAAGAAATCAGGATTACTGCAGCTGCACTGCTTTCACTGGTAACGTAATCCAAGTCTGTCCCCACCAGTAGTGTTAAAAAAATAAATAAATAAAGCCTACATGTCTCTGGGGACAGAAACCCAGTTACAGCTGTTGTATTTTGATATATTTGATCAGAGATGCTACCAGCTCTGGCACATGTGTACAACATGTGTATGACATAGTGGGATCATAGCCTTAAAGCCAGCCTAAAATCAAAATTACTAGTCTTTGCATTATTAGTTCTTGTACCTGATCATATTAAAGGGCCCGTATCATGGAAAAACAGTCATGCTTTTATTGTTGTTTTTAAGTAGTTTATGTACTCTCTCAATTTGCATCTGATGCATCATTCACTCACCGCTCCATGTAGTCTATATATGGACACGAAGCTTGTTTTGAATTTGTTTTTGTGATGTCATAAGAACCAACACATTTACATATATCCATCTCTACAGCGTACAGCTGAAGAGCTTTAGCCCCACCCATTAATACTGAAGTTTCCAAGTTTCCAAGTCATTTACATATTGTCGTTGTTGGATCAAAATCTTGTATGTATAATTTTTGTTTATTTTATTTATTTATTTATTTTTACAGTGCTTGAAAATGTCAGCTGCCCTTAATGACATGTTAAAATTTCTTGCTGAATGGAGCAGCAGAAAAAAATCTTGTTCCATTAACTTCCATTCAAAGAATGTTTTTTTTTTTTGTTTGTTTTTTTCCCCCTTCTCCTGTAAAATTACCATTCTGGAGGTTTTGTCATGATAGTTTATTAGTAGCAAACTAACATCCTTAACAAAACAGCCTTTTGAATTCTAAGGGATAAAGAGAGGTTGGAAGTGAATCATGAATGGTGGCTGTTTTTGTCACATAAGTCAACATAAATGTCATAAAAGGACCTCAAGGTAAAAATTAAAATGCAAGACAAATGTAGGATAAGGTCTTTAACCGCAATTCCTTATATAAATGGACCTCCCCTCATAATCTTCAAGATGTGGAGAACTTTGCAGTTCTGATATTTGCTGTGTCATTAAGAAGCAGTGGGTGGTGAACAATAATATTAACAAATAATAAAATATCCTGTTTCACACCCCCCTCCCATCATCCCCACCCATCATCAAGCCAAAACTCGCCCTCCCTTATGTCATGTTTCACTCAGATCGGTCACATTACGGGAGCAAAGTACAGAAGTCACATTTTTCACTTGTGATAACACATTTTAGTGCAAGATGTTAAAAACCATGTGTTTATTCACCTGAAATTCATGTGTTTTTTCTGTAAGTGCTACTAAAATCTTAGAGCTGCAAATATCTCTATAAAATTCCATTATAATTAAAAAAAGTACTGCTCATTTCCAGACTCACAGCTCCACCAGGGATTCCCAGATGAAGCATTTGATTCTACTGCCCTTCCATTTGTTCCCAATTTTAAGAAAAGAGCTTTGAGTGCCCTGTGTCCTTAAGGGTAGGAATTGAGCTCTGATGAAGGCCTCCTTTGATTAAATGCCCTCGTCTTTCCCTCCAGAATCCTCTCCACCCCTGAGTCGTGCTTGTTAAGCGTTTCATCCTCAATGAGTTCAATCTTCCTCTCAAGTTTTTGAATTACCCACTTCGCAGTGGCAGCTGTATGTTCTGTGAAGGCCGAGAATTCGCATTTGTTTTTCACACCTCCCACTGTTCAGCTGTATTATTAGCCTGGCTTTACCCTGCACAGCTGCAACTGTCTGTTATCAGCCCTTACTTACCTCGCTTATGTGAGTTAATTAACTGCGTTTGTGTCAGTCGCTCTGAACCGTCGGAACCAGAATAGATCACCAAAGTTGTTTTTAGTGCTGATTATAGAGTCTAGTTCCTCACTTTACTCTGTTTTGACTCTCCTCAGCCAACCTCAGCCCACCAAGGACATTTTAGGTTTATTGTTGGATTTATGATGATGGTGAAAACAAAAGTGATGGGAAAAACAAGAAAACTGTAAGCGCAGAGATGAGGGGGTGTACAAAACACAAACAAGGCTGCGTGCTACCGAGTTCAGAGGAGTTCATGCTCAACCTGATGAAACGATCCTGCTTTTTTTTTATTAGAACTGAATTATTAAAACCTTGTTTATTAATGTTATAAATCGGCCTTCGTCCTAGAGACTTTCCCTGCACCGAGGCTCAGAATGAAATACCTCCTGTCCAAACCTCATTTCTTTTGCCTGTCCACCTAATGAGAAAGATAGATGAGAAAAAGTTCAGAAGACATTAATTAATCATCTGAACTTTACCTTATTGGTAGCTGCCCAGTGACAGCTGCACTAAACCAAGTATGACTGCTGCTGTGTTCATTCAGAATTCAGTGTACATCACTGACCCGTCAAAGATGTTGGCTTTAAAATGTCAAAACTGTTTACTGTGCCTAAACCTTCTTGTCTGTCATGTCAAGATATATTTCGGATCATAAACGAACCACTTTCTTTGTCACAGTGAAAAATGTGCGTACATTAAAGCTGTATTTCTAAATGGTGCCGTTTTAATCTGGGACATTTTAATGAATGATACTGAGGTTTTCTTCTCATTCTTTAGCCCTTAGAAGCTGCAGTTGGTGCTGGCGAGAAAAGAGTGCTGTATTTGTTATTAGTCATTTCTCAACTAGTAGCTTTAAAAAAAAGAAAGCAAAGAACATCTGTCAGAGGTGCAGATTCTAAACCCTCAGACAGTGAGATGTTTGTGTGTGAGTAGACAGGGAGATATATTATTATGATTTGAAATTGATAAACATGATTGTTGTAGAAAGAAAAAGATCCTTTACATTTTTTGTTAGGCTTAACGTGTTTGTCATTAAAACGAATGGAAAAATGTCAGCGGTGCAAACTCACATACTGATGTAATATATTAACTACGTAATTATGTAATGGCATTTAAACTATGTTGTGTTATGTGAATTGAATTTATAAAAACATTACAGTAACTGTTTAACATGATTCACAATTCCAGTGTCTTTGCATTTCTGCACCGTTTTCTTCTCGTGTCATTTACTTTTGGCTGGTTCTTCAGTTGGTTCTCCAGGCGCGGAACGTTCCGGATCTGTCTGCAGGTGTGAACTGTTCCTTTGAGGACTACACTGAGACTGAAGCTCGAATACAAGGCTCATTCATCCACTGCCTCTCCCCCACCGCTAAAGAGCTCATCCCCATCACTCGTCACCAAGGTCAGTATGTTCGTGCATATTAGAGGTGCACAGTGTATTATTCGATGTGTTTAATTCCAAAACAGTGTATATCAGTAACAATTCTGAATGTTGTGAGGTTTTGAAAAGAATAACCGTATAACGAAAAACATTTTTTTCTCTGAAGAAGGTGCCGTTAATCATAATACTGCAGTGATCTTTCTTGTATATTTAAAGCCCACTTCCAACAGTGTATATCATAGGTAATGGACAGTGGTCCGTTATGTGCTTTCATTTGTTAAATATTATCACAGTGTTGGCCTTTGCAATGCTGGCTTTGAAAGGGCTGAAATATGCAAATGAGCCGGTAGCCAATGACAAAAATGATTTGCTGTGTTCTGTGGACATACTGCAAATAAATTCAGTTCAGTCATTTTGGTCAAAATAATGCATGCATTTTTGGGGATGGGGTGGGAGGAGTTTTCTCCAGTTTTTCCCAAAATTCAGTCACTGGCAGTTCCACTTGTTGCCTTGGTCTCCCTCTATCCCTCAGTGCTACCAAATTGGGAAGGTGAAGGGTAGCATGTGCTTTCTCTGTGACCATTAAAGCTCCACAGCATCTTTTGAACTGCTGGTTATGCAAGCTCATTGGAGAGCTCTACACGCTTTGAGGAGAACACTAACTGCTAATTCTGTTATGTCAGCTAGCAGACACAGGGTTAGCTAGTATCCTAACCCTGTGTTTTGAGACTCCCTGTTGACTGCAGTTGGTTCTTATCACTGCATTATTTGTTCTGAGACCTCCCCCCGACTGTTATTAGTCCACTGCACAAAGACTTCTAGCAGTGCTGAGATGTACCCAGTGTTTACGTTTATTTATGTCAGTGTGTTTGTTAGTTCAGTTTTGTTTAGGTCTGTTTTCAGTTGAATAATTTTAGTCACAGCTTTAGACTCTTATGTCTTAAACTTTGTAGTATCAAGGATTCACAGCTGTGCTTTTTGATGTATCACAAGACCTTTCCCAATCATCATATGTAGCAAAATAATCTCAGTGTGATGTTTTTTGTACGTATTGTGCAGCCCTGCTATGTGCACGTGTGTGTGGGAGGGAAAAATAGACATCACAAGAAAATCCAAACTCAGTGAATCTTGCAAATTGACTTGATGTTGTGAATGTTAAGGTGTACACATGAATAATGCACTGAAGATGAAAGAGCTGTCTATCCAGAACACATTTCAGAATCTTCATCTTCTTCTGCTTAAGGCTTTTTAGTCATTAAACGGGTATTAGAATAGAACTGAGCACATTTCCATGCTGGCGGCCTGAGTCAATTCCTATCGAGCGTCATTTGCTCCGTTCCCCAATAGTCACAGTATTCTTTCTGTCTGTATGGCAGAATGAGTGTGGTTGCTCAGTAAAGATGGCTATTTTGATAATGGGAGGATCCTACAGTGCAATTTTGATCACATCCATGGTAATCATAGCACAATCAAAGCAGGCTATTTTTACCACTGCAGTGCCCCGCTACGAAGGAAGGGAAAGAGATGTGTTGCTTAGATACCTTTCTTTCTTTTTTGTTTTCTTTCTATCCCTCTGGCTCACTCTCTTCTCTTTCTATAGGTGATAAACGTGTGGTGAAACTGTATCTGAAATCAAAGGAAACCGGGAAGAAGTTTGCCAGTGTGGATTTCGTCTTCTATAACTGCACCGTTCACAAATCGTAAGTCTCTCTCTCTCTCTCTCTCTCTCTCTCTCTCTCTCTCTCTTCTTTCTCCCTTTCCTTTCTTGTTCTGTCTTTTCTTCTTACCCTTTTTTCTCTCCCTTTCGTCTTACTCTTCTCTGCCTCTCTCTTCTCACCCTTTCTGTTCAGTTTGGTTCAGTTCAGTGATGCTTTATTGGCATGAATGAGAAATGTAAACATAAGAAAATTGTTATAGACGACCATAAAACACGTTAGAAATTGTTATTTACAGGATTATTAGTAATCAATAAAGGCCAAAAGTGAGAATAAGATTCAAGAGAATTTTCAAATATGCAATCATCAGAAATAATCATTAATAATTTGTTGATATGCCTCACTGTTTGTCCCTCAGGTTATGACAGGCTGTTTCAAATCTTACTGCGTGTGTGATTAGCCCACTCTTCTCTCCTAAAACGTATGGCAGTTTCTCACTGCTTTCTCTGGACCATTCACAGTTGTCATTAACATGCATCCTGGGTGATCCGGTCATAAGTGGACAAGTGTGCTAAGTTCAGGTGTGAACGGGACACAGTGCAGTGCATCTTGGAGACATATTGTGATCTGATCACTGGTCAGGGACGCATATGACCACATAACATGCACAGTGTGAACACTAAAGTGTCTTAATGTGTCTTCGACGGCGGCAGAGGGCCGCCTTAATCAGCTGCGTCGTCACAGCAGAGACAAAAGCAGCTTTTTTCATCTCCTCTACTGTTTGTTTAGAGGTTGTATTAGTGGTTCATGTGATCTAAATGTTTATAACAGCCCTTTCATTTACACCAACACGGACTCAGGGTATGTTTTTGTCTGACAACAAATGCAGCGAGAGACTGATGTAGTAAATATGGGTGGTCCCCTTCCTCCAATCACGAAATCCAACCATAGGAGACACATTCGAGACACATGAAGATGCAATGTTTGAACGACTACACATCTCACTGTCCACTGATCAAATCACTCGAGATAGATGTTAATATCAAATGAAAACAGGGTCTCTCTGTCTCTTTCTCTCTTTCTCTCTCACTCACTCTCTGTCTGTCTGTCTGTTTCTTTCCCTCCCTCTCTCTTTCTCTTGTACTGTGACTCTCTGTCTCTCTCTGTCTTTCTGTCAGTCTCTGTCTGTCTGTCTGTCTGTCTCTCTCACACACTCTGCTCCCCTTTATCTTCTCTCTTTCTTCCCTCTGGTCCTCTCATTTTACCCCTGAGGGGGGGTCATATTTCAGTAACCATGGTAACCTGAGGAAAGATGATTGACAGGTTTTTCAAGATCTCTGGAGGAAGGATGTGGTTAAAAGAGCTGAAGCTAAATTCTACAGTCCTGTTCTCCGCTATCTGGAAATGAAACGGTTTTTGCCACAAATCACATCAGGAGCAAATCATAACTGTAAAAATAAAACATCACAACTCCACTTTTTTGTTGCACCATTTGAAAATGCCAGCTGCCCTTTATATTGCATGAATGTCATGTTTAATGGACCAATAGAAATGGTAAAAATGATGAATTAAATCTAGTGTCATTAATAAACATTGAAATGAATTCTACAGGGTTTTCTCCTGATAGCAACAATTTGGTAGCCAATAGCAGTAAATAAGCTCATAGCTCTCAAATTTGAATTGGAGATGTGGTGGGCTCAGTGAAGAGGCCATGATCGTTTTCAGAATCTCTTTGATCACAGTAACTGCTGGGTAGCGGGTTATTCTGAAGGTCCAGATGGGTTTTTTGGGTCTCTCGAGGTGTGCGCAGTGTCTCGTTGCAGGAGAGATGAGCCCTTTGCTGTCTCCATGGGGATCTCTCACACTCACATGTGCACACGTTACTGTGAGAACGTCGTGTAACAATGTCCAAGTCATATAATACTCTCCCACCAGTGTGTGAGAGAGAAAGAGAGGATGGATCACCTTAGGGGGCACACACACACACGCATTTGTATGCGCTCATTAGCATCTGTGTGTGAACTGAAGGTGTAGTCCCAGTGTGCTTTTAAACTGGGCTGAAAGGTACAGAAACCACACAAATTTCACCCCTCTTCCTTTTATCAGTGAAAGAGGCTTATGAGACACACACACACACACTCTCTCCTTTCCACACACACACCCCCTCTTATTTATTCAGCTGATGAGGTCTTGTGCACTTTGAAATGCCATAAATTTGCATATTAATATTAATCTAATTTGGAGCGGCTCCGTTTTGGTGTGAGGCAGGGAGGGGGTCGGGAAATGAGCGACGCCGAAATGGAAAAGCACATGCAGTCATGATCGCCTCTTAATTAAATAGATCCATGTCTATATATGCCCGAGTGTTCGCTATCACAGCCTGAACAGGGTGCCAGGGCCTTCTGCACAAGAAACACTGTGACACTTCATTCCATTCACTGAGAGCTGTTCCTTATTGTGAGTAGGGCTGGGGATCGTTCAGAATGCTCTGATACTGATACCAATACTTTGATAAAGATTCCTGAAAAAAAAATATATATCTTTTAACGCTGCACTATGTGCAATGTTTTTTGTTAAAACTGAAAGAAGTAGTATTACTGCTACTACGTGTGCTGCACTGAGTCACCCTGTAACGCCTAAAATAATCATTTAAAAGTCAAGAGGTGTCAGGTCGGATTTTTTTCGGACCATATGATGTCTTTTACATGTTAACATCACACGCACAGGCTCTGAATGAAGGTCCTGGTTGATATTTAGGTTTGAAATGTAAAATCAACATTATACTAATGAAGATATGATGACAATAGTAGATAATTCACTTACATTCTCTGAAAACTCGTTCTTTACCAAGTTTTGACCGAGTTCTCTTTGAATACTCTTTTAGCTGCTCACAATCATCCGATTCATCTGCTCATGGTGGTCCGAAGCACAACCGATATTACAAAATGTTCTTCCACATGTTGCATGCAATAATACATTTCCTCCAGAGAGGTCTCCAAATCCCTAAATGTTATATAGCGTAACCTTACATCTTAGTGTTGCTTAAGCCAGAAATCAGTGTGAGCTACTGGAAGTGGATATTGTGCCAAAAAAACTTTTTTCAGGTTTTTCTCCATCACTTGAACAAAGCAGCCATCTCTTACAATGTGTGAACATTCCACAATAAATGGACCAATAGAAATACTCCAAAATGACCTAGAATAAAAACTCTTTAATGTACGTTAAAAGTTAAGAATGTTTTTGCCTCTCCTATAAAGTTATCCATTTTGGGATACGTGTTTTTTTTATGACGATTTATATCATCTGAATGCAATGAATTGAAATGTAATCAAAAAGCGCTGATGTTAATTTGCATTCAGAATGTGATTTAGACCAGTCAGCAGTCAGGATTTTGGAACAAGCATGCTTTTTGGCTCGTGGATGCTGATAAACTGACCACTTAGGATTTGAAATTCTGTGTTGAATGAGATGAAATTTTTCAGTACTCAGTAGTGTTGTAAGTAATGTGATTGGTACCATAATAGTATTCAATCGCAATATCCAGCTTTAGTTTGAAAAAAAAAGCTTTATAGGAAAGCAAAAAACATTGTTAATAGCATTTTTATTCTACATGTTTTTTTCACCATTTGACAGTGTAAAATGACCGGTGGAATGGACCAATAGAATGGTTAAAAGTCACTGGTAAAATCTTATTACATTTTTGTACATTAAAATCATTTTTTGTGATTCTCCTACATTGTTACCATTTCTGAAATACAGAGTTTGCTTGTGATGGCGACGACATGGTAATGAATAACATTAAATTAACACAGTTCTGTTGGGTGAATTGGAGATGCAGGTTTCCATCTCAAAATATACAGGAGAGGAGGTACTTCAGGGCCATGGTGGATGAGTTAAGTTAGTTAATGAAAACAAAAACTTTATTACGTGTAATTTAATTGATTATTTATAGTAGGCCATTTTAATACTCTCACAATATTAAAAGGCAGCATTTTCAAACAGGAAAAAAACAAAACAGAACTGGATTTTTTGTAGTTTTCTTATGATAGCTATGAAATGGACATCATGTGTCTGGAATGGCATGTGATTTGTAAGCTGGGTAGAAAGTGATGGAAGGAAAGAGAGGAGAGGCGTGGATCTGATACGCAAGATAAGGAGGAAAAGATTGTGCGGAAGAGAGAAAGAAGGAATGGAATGGAATAAGAGGCCTGTTACTTCTTGAAAAGGGCTTTTTTCAGAACAGAATACTGTTTTTCCTCGTATGTAAGAGCACACACATTGCACACTCTTCTCTTTAAGAGCACTTGCCATTTAACTTGCTAGCTATTTACATTATCCTCTCTCTTTAAATCAGTTACTGGAGAGAAAAGCCGAGGTCCATAATAAAAGCATAAAAGAGGGGCGGAAAAAAAGAGGAATCGGGGATGTATTGTGTCTTTACTGTCGGTGTCTGGAGCAGCAGGCCTGGACAGAGCAGCCATTTTAATATCGTAGAAGAAAATGAGAGAGAGAGAGAGAGAGACAGAGAGACAGAGAGACAGAGAGAGAGAGAGAGAGAGAGAGAGAGAGAGAGAGAGAATGCAGGGGAGGAGAGAGAGAGAGAGAGAGAGAGAGAATGCAGGGGAGGAGAGAGAGGCCAGACCCTACATGAATTTAGCTTAAGAAAGCAGCTCCGTGCGACGTGTGTGGATTATAATAATTCCGGTTCAGAGGGCCACCTGAAATGAAGCCCCCAGCTCCATCTCTTGAGCTCCACAGAGGGGTAAGAGGGCTCGGAATGGGGGGGCTTTATGGTGACTGGGATTCTAGTGAGGCCCTGAAATTAACCCCCACTTCAGACTGGGAGAGGAGGGTGTTTAAGATGCGGTCTGGGTTGGTGGCGGTGGGGGCGCAACAGGAGGGCTGGATTAAGGCCCTGTTGAGAGAAGGTTGGGGGGGGGTGGAGGAAGGGGACGAGAGAAGAAATAGAGGCTCATTTTTATTCTTCAATCACACCAGACCATTCAACCGTTCAGTCCTCAATTTCTTTCTTCACCCCCCGAACATGAATGAAGATTGACTAGGCAGAGGCATTTTAAGAATTTTTACTGTTCAAATTTCAGAATTTTTAAATGAATAGGAAACAAACTTCCTAAAATTAAGCAATATGTTTGCCTTGCCAAATGAGTAACACTTTATTTGAAGGCTCCCTTAACAGGGACTTAATAAGACATACCTAAGAATTGAATAACACTTTTAAAAAGTAATATGTAAGTGTTTATCAACAGCTTTTGTCAGTATGTACAGGATGACAGTATTTTATGAAATAAATGACACATTGACCAATTTGTAGGAAAATAACTGTATTTTGAGGGCATCAGAATTCAGTCATACAGCTGATAGATAGTCTTCTTAACTAGGCCTCTGCTCTGTGCCATTGCTTTATATTACTTTACATTATCCCTAACCTCGTTAAACATTATATGTTGTCATATACTAACATAAGGCTTTCATTAATACTTAAATAGTCATGTTTTTAAGTATTATTCAGTGCTTATGTATATGTCATGAAGATCCTATATATCTAGCCTTTAAATAAGATATTACCCATTATTTAACCCCTTAAATGGCTGGGGACCGCCAACAGGCCAAACGTTATTACACACTTCTATATCCTAAGAATAGCTCAGCCAGTTTGCATTGAAGTAGTTGTTACTACCCTGTAGTTACTGAATAATAAACCTTAGTGTGTAGTAACCCTGGGATTATTTTTTTAAGAGGTTAATGCTTTTGCAGGTTTTTATGCTAATATTCATTTCTTGCATGCAGCTGGCATACGAGGGGGTCTGTGCCTGATTTTGGGTTGATCTGTTGTAGAATTTTAGGCAGTATTACTGTAGTATTACTTGTGCAGCTTATTCTGCCCAAATTTTAGCTTTTTGGCTGAAATGTTTCCATATGTGGCAGCACTTAGATATTGTTGTTCCACTCAGTGTGAGATGCAGTAACAGCTGCTTGTTTCCTGCCGAAAATGCATTTAAATAGTACAAGATAATACAAAATGTATTTCAGCTTAATGTGCTTATCCAAATAAGTGAACAAATACCAAGATGAGTTTGGAAATCTGTATATTTGAAAAAGCCCATCTGTCACGCACATTTACTGCATCGTTTTTATCTTTAGTGTGCTCACATGCTCTCATGGTCACGTTCGTGTGGCCGCTTTAACAGACCTTCATTCATTTATTATCAATCACGGCTGCCCCTTCTGCGTGCCTGACCCTGATTGGTGGACTGAATGGATTAGTGCTCTCCAGAGATCCAGCATTAACCAACTGACAAATGGTGCCTCGATGGGAGGTCACTTAACACACACTCACACACACACACACACACACACACACCCACCCTCACATATTAGTACACACAGAAGCATACAGACCCGCACCACCTCTCTCTCTAACCATATAGCAGCGATGGACATCGTGGAGCATTCTTTGATGAATTGCCTGGTTTGGATTAGGAAGTGGGGATAATTTCCTTGACCAACCATTTCTCAACTAATTGGACAGCTTCTCTCAACGCACACGCAGATTGGTCAATTAAGAGGATCATGTGATTCAATTATGTGGTCGGCAGTCTTTGTTCTGAACGATCGTTTAACGTCTGTGGGTGAACAAATCGCTTGACTGAGATGATTAATTGAAATGAATGGCCGAGCTTTTCCAGCCAAAGCACTCAGAGCACTCTGGATACAGAGGCTGTGTATATTTATACTGCACATGTGTGAGTGGAGGAGGAGACATCAGAGCAGCTCAAAGGCTCCTCCTTACGTTTCATTAGCTTTCCCTGTCTGTCTGTCTCTCTCTCTCACTTTCTCTCACACACATCTCCCCCACTCTCTGTCTGTCTCCCTCTTTCCTTCTCTCTCTCTCTCTCTCTCTCTCTCCAATCTTGGTTTTCTTTCTCTCGCCCTCTGTCTTTCTGAGTTCCTTATCTCTCTCTCTCTCTCTCTATTTCTCTATATCCCTCACTCTTTTCTCTTTAGTTTCACATTTGGTTTGATTATCTCTCTCTTTTTCTCTTTGTCTCTCTCTTCTCAATCTTGTTTTTCTTGTCTCGCTCTCTCACCTCCCCCACTCTGTCTTTCTCCCTTTCTTTCTCTCTCTTTCTCAATTTCGTTTTTCTTTCTCCCTCTTTTTCTCTTTGCTTTTTGTCTGCCTCTCATCTCTCTTACTCTGTCTTTCTCCCTCTTTTTTCTATCTTTCTCTCTCTCTTCGCAAGAAGCTGTCCCTCGCATGCTCCGTATCTCTCTTTATCTTTCGCTCTTTCCTCTTTATCTGTCTGTCTGTCTCTCTCTCCCTCTCTCTGGGAAATCCTACTCTATTTGATCTTTCTCTCTCATGTCATCACTCTCTCTTCCTCTCTGTGTCAGTCTAAGCCCTGGGTGTCTTACTGAAAGCTCATCTTTGTGTGAGGATGAAAGAACAGCTTCACAAAAAGGTTGACTTAAAAAAAAAAAGAGAGAGGGAGGGAGGGAGACAGGATGAAAGACAAGGACAGTCATTTGCTGGTTGTAGAGAGACAGGGAAAGGACAGTTGATGCTCTGTTAGTTAGTTATTTCCTCATGGTTGCAGTATTTCTCTGTTGTTGGTGTTTTGCTCTTTATTGCCTTTATTTATGTAAACTGTGTGTCTGTGTGTGTGTATCTGCAGGTGTTTGTCGTGTGTGAACGGCTCCTTCCCGTGTCACTGGTGTAAATACCGTCACATGTGCACGCAGAATGCCAATGACTGCTCCTTCCAGGAAGGCCGGGTTAACATGTCAGAGGTGAGTCGCATGTCACTTCCTGTCCGTGTTGAAAAACGCCTACAAAAACGATCATGTTCAGGTGCAGAACACAGTGCAAACACTGAAACAACAAAGAGGATTTGTCTGACAGTGATCATTTGTTGTTAGTGTTTATTAACTCCTTTATCACTAGACTTACTATTGGTGTAGTCTTATAATACAATAATAGAAATTAAATATGAATAAAAATGGACAATACTTAAGTTAATCATTTCAATAAATTGTTCAAGAACTACTGTAAAACATGCAAGTTCTTTAGTTATGAGAATGAAAACTAAGGTGTGAACCCATTAACAGTACAATATTGAACAATTGAGAAAAAAAAAATATCTTTCAGTATTTAAAATTTTAAAATATTTAAAAATATAAAGCCGATACACCCCTCGGTCACTTCTGAGGGTCTCGTATTTGCCTTTTTACATGGAAGCCTCAGTCAGTAATCAAACCCTGGTATCTGGCTGAATCCTGTCAGAGTAAGGTGGGTGGGGACGGAGAGGGGCTGGGCTGAAGTCATTCTAAATTCTCTGGTTATGATTTTTGGAACTTGTTCTGTTAGAGTCCTGGTGCAGCAGACATTGAAGAAGTTCTGTTTGAGAATCATTATTTGAGCCAAACCAAATCTGTGGTATATAATTATAGCTCTGTAGACTGAAGACTTTCACGTAAATATAAAAAAAATTTATCAAATCTTGACCTCAGAATTAAATATATATTGAATCTGAAAATATTGATATCATTAATCCCCTTGTGTTTATCATTGCTAATAGGTTAGTTCTTAACATTTTTACCATTATGGTTGAAATACTGCAGCAGATAAACATGTGTGCTTGAAAAATCAGTGACTAGATAGTTTCCCTTTGAATAGTTCCTGTCATGTGACCACATGAACATCACATCATATGAGCTGAATCTGTATGCACTATATGTCCATAAGTTTGTAGAAACCTGCATATCCAGTGTCTAGTATTTAAACATTGCTATGAGGGTTTGATTGCATTTAGCCACAAAAGCATTAGTGTACAGATTGTACAATCTCCTTAGAAAAGCACTGTTAATAGAATTGAATGCTCTGAAACAGCTGCACATGAGCCTAAGGTGGCTATGCCCAATGACGAGGGATATAAAGCCCCCCAGTGGTGCACTGCTTGTTAGCACGTGTTAGCAATGGCTACTCCATACAGTAGCTGAATTTACTAATTGGACAGCATGTCTGGATACTTTTGGACGTATAGTGTACGTATACAGTCAAATAGTGCACTAATTGTCCTGTAGCATCATGATCTAAACAGGACACTACATAAAGAGTAGGGAGCCATCGGAGGTTCAGCTGCAGTACGTGAGAATGAGCCGGTGCGGTGGTGTTTTTTCACTAATGTAGTATTGCTGCAGTGTAATAGACACTGTGCTGCACCATGCTGATATACTGTAAACACGCGCTGTTGTGCGCTAATGTGTGTACAGTTCTCTAGTCGGTGGAAGTGTCTGTGTGCATGTCAGCGTGTACTATGCTGCTATACTGTAAACATGCACTGTTGTGTGCTAATGTTGTTAATGTAAATGATATTTTCCAGATCCTGCCTGTCTGTATGTCTGTCTGTGTCTTTGTTGTGTGTACGTGAGTGCGGCTGTGGTGTGTGTTTCCGTCGTTCTCTGCGTGTCCTTCAGTCTTGGCAGAAACAATTCCCTTATCTCCTCAGCTTAGCATGAGGCCTCTGATTGGTTGTTTGTGTATGCATAGCTGCGTTTTAATTGGTCAGAGGGGATAAAACCTCTTCCCAATTACGCCTGGCCTTTGCTTCTCATGCTGCTTTCTGTTGCCCGGGCTGCAGGAGAGAGCAGGCGAATACACACATACACAAACATGCACACGAAAACAGGTTTTTGTCCAGGGAAGAGGACGCTCCTTTGAATCACATCTGAGTACTGAGACCCTCGCATGTCAACTCGTTTAGATCATCCACTAGCCACACAGTCCCAAAGTTAATCCATCACTCAGACACACACTCTGCTCGTACATGCTCATTTATTGTCCACACTCCCCTACTGCGGTTCCCATTTGTTCTGGTTCATGTGGTGGCTGGCTGAAGCAGACCCCCACCGGCTGTAGTTATCTTAGCCTTTCATAATCCACCACTGACATGTGTTAGTACTGCTGATGAGGGTGTGTGTGTGTGTGTATGTGTAGTGTGTGTGTGTGTGTGTGTATGTGTATGTGTGTGTGTGTGTGTGTGTGTGTGTGTGTGTGTGTGTGTGTGTTTGAGAAATGTTTAGCTGTAAGTCACTGTTGGATGTGAACAAATGAGCTCTGAAAGGAAAGCTCAGGTTCGTTCAGTGCTGTCTTGGGCACTTATAGAATGACCAGCTCACACATCCCTCTCGCTCTCTCTCTCGCTCTCTCTCTTTTGCCCTTCTTGCTTGCTGTCTCATTCTTTCTCTCTCTGTCCTTTTTTCCCCTCTTTCTGTTTGTCTTGCTCTTGCTCTTTCTCTCTTTCACTCTGTTTCTCTTGCACATGCTGTCTCTCTGTCCTCTCTGTCCTTCTCTTTCTCTCCCTCTCTTTCTGTCGTTCTCTTTTTCTCTCACTTTCTCTCTTGCTCGCTCTCTTTCTCTCTGTCTTCTTTTTCTCTGCTTTCTCTTTATCTTTCTGTCTGTCCTTCTCTTTCTCTCTCTCCGTCTCTCTCTGTCCTTCTCTTTCTCTCTCTCCCTCTCTCTTTGTCCTTCTTTCTCTCTCTCCCTCTCTCTCTGTCCTTGTCTTTCTCTCTCACTTTCTCTCAGTCTCTCTCTTTTTTTACCTCTATTGCTTATTCATGCTCTTTCTCTTTCTTGTTTGTTTTCTTGTCTCTCCTTCTTTCCATCTTTCTCTCTTTCTCTTTCCTCTTACTCTTCCTCTCTTTCTCTCACTCTTTCTCTCTTTCGTGTCTCTCTCCCCTTCCCCTCCCTTCCTTTCCTCCCCTCCAGCATCCCTTTATTTATGTTCCATGTTTCTACAATTTTTCTTCCCGCTCTTCTGCTTTACGTGACAACTCTCAAGCTCCCTATCAACAAAAGCTTTTGCGGCTGAGCTATCAGCCCGTCTGGAATTGGTTCAGGTGGCAGACCCGGTTCCCCAGCTGGACGTGCAGAAAACCGCACAGCGGGAAGAGCCAGCACCACAATTCAGAGACGAGCGAAAATCTGGAGAAAACGTCAGCCCAGTGTAATAGCTGGATTTTACAAATGCAGTCCTCATAAATTAGAGAGAGAGTGAGCGAGTGCAGTGGAATTAATGTTGTGTCTCGTTTTTCACTAAGACTCGGCCTGGAGAAGCAACTTACATACTGTAGATGAGTCCTCAGGAGGTCACAGCCAAAACACACATTGACACAACCAGGTAAAGTTGTTCAGTGTAGCCATGGGAGAGTTACTTGTGTTTATACACACTTTCCTCTCTCTTAACATAAGTTGGACATTCGTATTGAGAATAGAATGGACAGAGGTATTCACTATATGACTGAAAGTGGACACCTGACCATCACATCTATATGAGCTTGTTGGACATCCCCATTCCAAAACCATGAGCTTTAATGTGGCGTTACCCTCACCCCCCACCTTTTATGGCTATAGTAGCCTCCCCTTTTATGGAAGGCTTTCCACAAGATTTTGGAGTGTGTCTGAAGGAATTTGTACAAATGCAGTCGAAAGAGCATTGGTGAGGTCAGGCACTGATGTTAGACGAAAAGGCCTGGCTCGCAATCAGCGTTCCAAGTCTCCCCAAAGGTGTCCAGTAGGGTTGAGGCCAGGGCTCTGTGCATGAGTCCCTCCACACCAAACTCATCAAACGATGTCTTTAGGGACCTTGCATTGTGCATAGGGGCATAGTCATGCTGGAACAGGAAAGGGCCTTCCCCAAACTGTTTCCACAAAGTTGGAAGCATATATTTGTCTAAGGGGCTTTGTATGCTGTAGCATTAATTTTACCCTTCCATGAACCTAAGGGCCTGAGCCCAAACCCTGAAAAACTGCCCCAGACCATTATCCCTCCTCCACCAGACTTTACTGTTGGAACTATGCATTTCGGTATGTAGCGTCATGACCCAGATTCGTCCAATCGGCCTGCCGGACAGTGAAGTGTGATTCGTCACTCCAGAGAACACATTTCTACTGCTCCAGAGTCCAGACGCCATGCTTTACACCACTCCAGCTGACGCTTGGTATTGCGCATAGTGATCTTAGGGTTGTGTCCAACTGCTTGGCTATGGAAACCCATTTCATGAAGCTCCTGACTCACAGTTCTTATGCTGATCTTGCCTCCAGAGGCAGTTTGGACCTCTGTAGTTAGTGATGCAAAAGATGATGGGCAATTTTTACATGCCATGTGGTTCAACACTTGGCAACCCCACACTTTGAGTATGCATGGTCTGTCGCTTCGTGGCTGAGCTGTTGTTGCTCCTTGATGCTTTTTGTTTCACAGCAATAACCATTAAAGTTGACTGTAGCAAATCTAGCAGGGCAGAAATTTCACAGGCTCACTTGTAGCAAAGGTGGCATCCTTTGACAGTCACTGAGCCTCATTTCAACCCATTCTCCTACCAGTATTGTATCTATGGAGAGTGCAGGGCTATGCACTTGATTTTGTACATCTGTTAGCAATGAGTGTAGTTGAAACAGCTGAACTCAATAATTAGGAGAGGTGTCCACATACTTTGGCCATGTAGCATAGCTTGACTTTGTCTGAAGTTTTGGATATACTAGAGCATGATTATCAATGGAGATTACATGCAGCATTTCCATCATAATAGCAGTGTAATATTTTGACATGGTTCTCTGTCATTTTCTTTTTTTGCTATATAGTGTTTTATAGAATAGGACAAGAAAAAAGGAGACGAATGGTTCGTTAAGTGTGGTATATTGTTTTCTCATACGTCAAAGAGGTGTTAATTGTCGAGATGTTAACAAAGTAATTTAGAGTGGTTCAATAGGAGTGTGAATGGATCCTTGTAGA